GCCTCCGCCCCCGCCTCCGCCCCCAACTATAGTCATACAATCAGTAACCACCTTAATATTTCGCCTCCAAGAAGTCTTATTTGAGATCATTCCCTTGAAAACGACTAACACCTTCTACCTAGTCTCAATTGCTCACTTCAACCCTATTCGCCCCTACCAACCATGATGCATTCCACCCTTCTAAACGACACCATTTATAGCCTACCACGAACATATGGTTGACACCGTTAAAAGACGGTAAAGAACGTTCTAATAACATTTGTATGAAGTTTTGAATTTGTGGTTAAACAGTTACGTTAAATTAAATTCAACTTAAAACACACTAAAAACTATTAGAGCAAGTTTAGGGGTAGTAAAATGGAAAGGGGTTCATTTTCTTGATCTCCACTTGTAAAATAAAGAAATTCAAAACCCTAACAAAACAAACACAAAAATTCAAAACCTGCTCTGCATCCGTACAGAGGCTCCCTTCCCCAAAGCTCTGCAACCATCATCTCCTTCACCCAGTAGACACATTTCCCTACGTTCATCGCCATTCACTCAATAACCCTTTCGTTTGATCGTAAGTCTTTCTGGAAACAGGTAATGGGGCAAGAATTCGGCTCTGAAAGTTGCAACTCTTCTTTTCACCTCCAAATTTCCTAAAAATCTGAAGATCTTCGTTCATGGATGGTTGTTGGATTTGGGTTCTTTAGATCGGTGCATTCTTCTGTCACCGGTAAGTCTTCCGTTTCTGAACTTTTTTTAGAATCTGTTTCAAGAGCTGTTAGAAGCTTAAACTTGTGTTAGTCGAGCTATATCGTGTTTGGCGCCTTCGATTTCGGTGGGCTTTTAGGGGTTTTGAGCTCATAAATTTCATGGGAAGTGTATGAAATTAGGTTGAATGGAAACCCCATGATTCCCTTGTTTAGATTCCACCTCAGAATGATTCTCGCTTTCAGTTCTCACTTTATGAATATTCTTTTCGTTTGATAAAGGAATTGGAATGTTTGTAGATCCTTAAGATTTGGGAATTAGATATTGATTAGGGATGGAAGGTGCCGTTAAACCCACACAACCATCATCAAACATATCGGAGATCGTCAATAAATTCGCTAAGGTTTGCAAATTTAGGTCGATTGGAGTATTCTCCTCTGAAAACCCTAGTCATTTTCATCAGCAGGAATTCTCTAATGATGTGAAAGAATGTGACAATGGGATCGGAAAAACCAATTCCGATGGTGCAAAAGTGTTTCCAGACCTGGCTGAGGTGTGTAGTAGAACCAGTTGGTCTGGCCATGATGACATCTTGAAGCTGTTTGATATATTGTCTGAACTAAAATTGGCTTATGTTCAGCTCCAAGAAGCTTTTATTCCTTATGATTCAGACAAGGTTAGAGTTGCTGATGAACTCGTTTTCTCTAATATTGATGGATTATGTAAGATCAGGCGAACGATTAAAGAGAAACAGTTTCAGAAATCGAACTCTCTTTCGGCTTGTTTGACTCTTTTACGAGCGGAAACTAAGGTTCAGGAGCGTTTGTTGGAACGATTAAAATCTCAAACGAAGAAGAAAGACATCGAGATAAGTTATCTGAAGGGAGAACTTTGTGATTTAGATGGTAAAAACCGGGCGTTAATGGAAGAAATCAAGCGAAGGAAAAGGGAAGCTATAAAACGTTTAAATCTTGCCTCTGTTGAGAGCGTTGTTAAGGAGGTTTCAAAGGGTATTCATGATTTCGCTAAGCCATTAATCGCTTTGATGAAGGCTTCCGGATGGGATCTTGATGAAGCTGCAAACTCGATCCAAGATTCGGTCAAATACTCCATTAGATCCCATAAGAAATACGCATTCGAAGCTTACATTTCAAGAAGGATGTTCTATGGATTTTCTTCGAAATCCCACAATCTTGATGATGTCTTGAGGTTTAACGACCCCATTGATGTTCTGATCGAAGACCCAAATGGTAACTTTGCCGAATTCTGTAGAACAAAGTACCTTTTAATCGTTCATCCAATGATAGAAGCTTCATTCTTTGGAAATTTGGATCAAAGAAACTTTGTTTCCAGCGGAAGGCATCCAATCACACCGTTCTACCAGTTATTCGTCAAAATGGCAAGATGGGTTTGGCTTCTTCAGGGTATCGCTGCTTCGGATCCCAAGAGCGAAATGTTTGTGGTCAATCGTGGAAGCGAATTCTCTGATGATTATATGGATCGTGTTGAAGGGTGCACCGATGATCTGGGATCGTTAGATGATCATCGTGGAAGGTATAAGGTTGAGCTGATTATCATGCCCGGGTTTAGGATCGGTGAGAAATTGATCAAGTCTCGGGTTTATGTTTCGAAACTCAACAATACTTGTTAGGAAGACGGAATGGCGGTATTTCGGTAAGTTATGAAATATGATATGTATAAGTTGCTTCTTTAGGTTAAAATTTGGCTTCTTCATGTAATTCTATGCTGAAAGTTGGTATGATATTATGAAGTTAAACTTATGAATCTTTGCTAAAATGATGTAAAATAGGAACACTATCAATATGAGATACGTAATAAGTCAATAAGTTGTTTTTATAAGTAATCCCAAACACCCCTTAATTTAAAACAACTTATGTTTTTTTTGTAAAAGTGCTTATTAACTTATATGGTATCAAACCGAAGTTAAATATAACAGGGTTAAAATTGTAAACTGGTAATAAGCAGTTTTTCATAAGTCATGAAAGATTAACTTATTAAAAATAGCTTATTTATATTTATATTGTAAACTGGTAATAATATTTTTAGATAGTTACTTGTTTTTAAGACTTTTTATTAAACCTGTTTTATAAGGTAGTATAAATATTTTAATTCATCTGCCACGTCATTTTTCTAATAGACATTCACTTTATTTTTAATATTTAACATATAATTTTTAAAGAAAATAATTTCTGACATTTTGTTTTTAATCTTGCTGCCAAAAACACTTATTTCCTCCATACTTTTTCATTGGAACTAATCAATTCAATAAAAATTAGACACACATCTTTTCAATATTTATAACTAAAATTTAAAAATAGAAAATTATACAACTTTTCAATATTGATAAACTGTTTTTTTTATTTATTAACATGGATATTCAACCTGTTATGCGGGCCGACTAATCACAGAGTTGTCATCCGCTTCGTACGTAGCTCGAAGTTACCGCATTTGAACCTCTATAACTACAAGGAGATTTTTATTCCTACTTGGGTAAACAGTTGGACTTAAGTTTAATCAAAATATGTTAGATAAATAAATGTGTGATTTATAATCTAAGGGGGTGTTTGAGATTGCTTATTTGAAACAACTTATGCTTCTTGATATTAGCGTTTTGACATGCAGGTCTCGTGTGAGTAGGGGTGTAAACGAGCCGAGTCGAATCGTAGTTATTCGAGCTCGGCTCGAAAGAGTTATACTAGACTCGAGCTCAAATAACTTTTTCAATACAGGGCTCAAGCTCGAGCTCGGACATTTTTTGAATTATCGAGCTCGATGCTCGTTTAGGGGTCGTACTTGCAAATTGCAATCGGTTAACATGTTAAAAACTCAACACGTTTACACTACTATGTTTAAGGGCGATTAAAAGTGGCGGTTATCAACTTCAGTCATCGGAATAAACATCAAAATAAAATTTATAAAAACTAGGTTTATACAATAAACATAGAAAAAAAGTATGTTTCATTGTTACTATTCACATATGAATAAAGTGTACGAAAAAGTTTGTATGATTAAAAACTCCAACACTCGTGTGTCGACTCAACTTTAGGAAAAAAGGGTTCAATTTTTGTTTTAATCATTATAATTCAACCGCATGGAAATATTTAAATACTTTTCGAAAGTTTTCTATGGCCAAACAAAATCATCATCAATCATGCCATTTTGCTTTTTTTTTCCCTTTCAATAATACTTTTTTTAATATTTTAATTCTATTTTCAAGACGATCATAAAATATAATCATTTCACTTTATATATATATATATATATATATATATATATATACTAGAAGCGTACTCGCGCAATGCAGCGAGATACATCATGATTTTAATATTTCGTTTTATTCTTTATCGCAGTCGATGTTATAATATTGCTTTATGTGATTATGAGAAAGCGATGATGTTTTTATTTTTGAATAAAATATATGTTTGAAGATATCATAAAAATTTGACAAAAATATATCAATATTATATCAAATTAACTATTTGAAATTACTCATTTTTTGTGTAAATTTTTAATTCAATTTTTTTATAATTTAATTTATGTACAATAACGAAGTAATTTATATTTGGTTTAATAATATAATTTT